ATAAAAGTCAGTAAGAAAAAATCAACAAAAAAAAAAAAAATTGACGCAGTGCTGTCCTCGTTTGAAATCCAGTAGAACTCCCCCCCAAAGTACCATTATGAATAATCATTTCATTGTTTTTCATTTTTTCTTAATAAATTCCAGCCAAGCAAGACAATAATGCCACTAAGACACAAGTGGCTGCTGGGAGTGAAAGAGAATGAAAATACTTTAAAAGGGACCGGAAACCCAATCCTAAACAGGAAACAACGGATAAACCTCTACAACTATTCAAAAGATGGAGGAGGGGCGTAAACCGGACGATAGGCAAAACTATCTCTTCCTAATGAGGAAAATAAATAAATGAATAAATAGTAAATATAATTTCAGAGTTTAGGCGGAGACGTTAGAAATATAGAGTTGAAGTCGATCCTGAACAGGAAACAAGGGATAATCCTCTACTCCTGTTCAAATAACCGGGAATAATTATGAACCGTACGATAGGCGAACCTATCTACTTCTATTGAGTAAAAATAAATAAATAAATAGTAAATAAAATTTCAGAATTTAGGCGGAGACGTTAGAAGTATAGAGTTAAAGTAGACTTTAGAAGGAACCGGAAACCTAATCCTAAACAGGAAACAAAAGATAAACAACTACTTGTCAAAAGATCACGGTGGTAAACCGTACGATAGGCGAACCTATCTACTTCTACTGAGGAAAAATAAATAAATAAATAGTAAAGAAAATTTTAGAGTTTAAGCGGAGACGTTAGAAGTATAGAATTAAATTAGAGTTGAAGAAGGTCACGGGAATCCGAGCGACTATCATTTTCAAGAATGCATTGCAATACACAGATAAAAAAAAGCCATGAGAGTCATGATCGTCTGCGTCCTGAAGGTACATGGCATTAAAAAATTTATATTAGAAAACGTGATTTATCAGTTATACAATCGGATTTCTCCTTCACTTCAATGAGCTATTCCGTTGTTATCGTTACACGGGGTATTATTTGATGCCAATAAGCAAATACGCTTTGTGATACCATGATAATGGATTATTCTATTAAGTAAGGAGATCAGGTGGCTAATATATAGCTTTGTATTTATTTTGTTACGTGTAAGCTTTCTTGGAACATTTTATATATTTAATAATTTAAAAACCGGAATTCTATCTAACATGTGACAATAGAGTTAGGAAGGTGTGCTGAAAAGTTATCGGCTTCGCGCATTTCCCTAAATTTAATCCAATAACAAAGCCGCAGATTTTTTAAAGAGCTTAGATGGGCTGAAAATTTTTTCGGAACCCCCTCATAATTCTATCAAATAAAAATCCTTGATAACACAAGCAGAAAATATAGCCAATACAATTGCAAAATTACTCAAAATTGGCCATCATTTTTTGAAGTTAGACGTCGTGGTAGCTTTCTTTGGATATTGATTTATTTGTTTAACGGCACATTAACACCATTATGGGTTATTTAATGCCAAAATTTAATTTTCCTGGAAGCTTTGAATAGAATTAAGGTATATGTTATTCTGTTTTCACAAATGAATACATGGATAAATGATACTCAGCTATTGTGCATATAGATGTTTGTGTGGACATAATTTCTAGAGGCGGTGATATGTGCGTTTTATGTTGTTTTGAAGTTTTATTTTGGAATACAGTTTGAATTTTTTAAGAAATTGTCGGATATTATATGAAAGTCATGAAAGTGTTCTTTCATGTTGGTTGTTTGGCTAATTTTATTATAGCAGCATACCAAACTCCATGGGTTATTTAATGTCGAAACTTAAATAATTTGTACGCCTTCAACTACAGATAAAATGTATTGCTAGTTTTTTTTTTTATTATATAAAACCTATATTGCTGGCATTTTTACTATAAAAATGTATTTTTATACTTTTATAGTGTTTTTTTTTTGGGGGGGGTCACTATTTTCCCATAGTTGGGACCCTAACAGGTGCTACCACCCCAGGTTAGGATGGACCTAGGAACAACAGCAATTAAGAGGTACTTCCACGCTCTTCAAAACCTCCAATCTCTCGACTGCTGCCGGGTGTAGTTTATCGTCATACCTAGGACTGTTACTTTTAATTAATTAAAAACCAGTATTCTTTCTTACATGGAACAATAAAGTCAACTGTATAGATAAAAACATAAGATTACTCATGCAAAAATATGAACTAAGCAATTATAAAATTACTTTAAAATGGTTGTCATCTTTGACGGTATGGTTTATGCTCGCGTTCTTGCGGTATTTTTACTTTTAATGATTTTAAAATCATAAGTCTTTTTTACTTGCGACAATAGAATTAATTGTATGGATAACTGTATGAATAATGCTAGATGATTCACATAGAAATTATAACCAATGCAATTGAAAGTATATTAATTACAACCGATTTCTTTTGAACAGTTTTTTAAATTTGTTTTCAGAAAACCGCACAACGATACATCGTAGCGTGATTTTTGTTAGGGCAATACCGATAATACTTTACACTATCTTGAAGAATAGGGCTATTTTCTTTTTGCGGATTTGTTACCGGAAAACAGCACAACGATACATCGTAGCGTGATTTTTGTTAGAACAATACCGTTAAAATACATTATCTTAAAGAATTGGGCTA